CATCATGGCGGTCACATGATCAGGAAAGGTCCCGATCGAAAGAGGAGATCAGGACCTTTCTGTGAGTACCGAACGCATGTGCTGGGAGCGCGCAGTTTGCACGCTTTCAGCCCACATGTTTTTTTAATAGAACGCAAATGTGCGGTCCCCGCTCAGCGTCTAGGCCCAAACACCGGAAGGCCACACATTTGCATTCGGCTGGCGCCAAGAGGTTAAATTGCATTTTGTGCATAAATAGTCAATCAGTTTATCAGCTCTCACGTGGAGGCACTGAGCAGGCTAAATACTGAGCCATGGGGAGCAGAAAAGAACTGTCAAAAGACCTGCGTAACAAGGTAATGGAGCTTTTTTTTTTTTTTATATATATAAAGATGGAAAAGGATATAAAAAGATATCCAGAACTGGCCCGGTTGATGACCGTGCTGGATCCCTGGGGGCCGGGCGACTACCTGTTTAGTAAATGTTGGCGGCTGTGGTATTTGTAGCCGCTGACTTGGGGCGATGCAGAGAAATTTCAGCCCATTAAAAGGAATAGGCAAAACATGCACTGCGCAAATCCTGATGTGAACCGGCAGGGCCGGGACCAAGGGGTGGGCAGGAGGGGCGGCAGTTTTATCATATGAGGTGGGGGGGGGCACCATGAGATGGGGGTGAGTGGATTGTGCTGGGAGGAGGAATTTGTTGGGCAGCAGGGGTTAAGCATGGGGGAGTTGTGCTAGGAGTAGATTAGATTTGTGTTGGGAGGGGGGGGAAGAGTATTTGTGCTAGGAGGGCGTTTGGGGGGGGGGGGGGGTTGTGCTAGGGGGATTTGGGGGGGTTGTCCTAGAAAAGATATGGTAGAAGGGGGATGTGATTGATGCTAGGAGGGGGAATTTTTCTTTTTTTGGGGGGGGGGGGATTTGTGGTAGTAGGGATAATTGGGGGGTATTTCTGCTAGGAGTAGAACTTTGGAGGGTTATTTGTTCTAGGATTAGGAAAGGGGAATTGCTTCAAGAGGGTTTTTTGAGTGGAGAGGGAAGAGGATTTCTGCTCGGAGAGGAAATTTGAGGGGTAGGGGATTTGTGCTAGGAGATGATTTTTTTTTTGGGGGGGGGGGGGGGGGTTGTACTGGGTGTATATGGGGAGAAAGCTGGGGTGGGAACTGGGGTGGCAAATATTTGTACAGGGAAGGGGGGATTTAGGGAGAGGGTGGACTTGTACTGGGAAGGGGGGATTTAGGGAGAGGGTGGATTTGTACTGGGAAGGGGGGATTTCGGTAGAGGGGGGATTTTGATAGAGGGTGGATTTGTACTGGGAGGGGGGATTTCGATAGAGGGTGGATTTGTACTGGGAAGGGGGATTTCGGTAGAGGGTGGATTTGTACTGGGAAGGGGGGATTTCGGTAGAGGGTGGATTTGTACTGAGAAGGGGGGATTTCGGTAGAGGGTGGATTTTTACTGGGAAGGGGGGATTTAGAGAGAGGGTGGATTTGCACTGGGAAGGGGGGATTTCGGTAGAGGGGGGATTTCGATAGAGGGTGGATTTGTACTGGGAGGGGGGATTTCGGTAGAGGGTGGATTTGTACTGGGAAGGGGGGATTTAGAGAGAGGGTGGATTTGCACTGGGAAGGGGGGATTTCGGTAGAGGGGGGGATTTCGATAGAGGGTGGATTTGTACTGGGAGGGGGGATTTCGGTAGAGGGTGGATTTGTACTGGGAAGGGGGGATTTAGAGAGAGGGTGGATTTGCACTGGGAAGGGGGGATTTCGGTAGAGGGGGGATTTTGATAGAGGGTGGATTTGTACTGGGAGGGGGGATTTCGGTAGAGGGTGGATTTGTACTGGGAAGGGGGGATTTAGGGAGAGGGTGGATTTGTACTGGGAGTAGGGGGGATTTAGGGAGAGGGTGGATTTGTACTGGGAAGGGGGGATCTAGGGAGAGAGTGGATTTGTACTGGGAGTAGGGGGAATTTAGGGAGAGGGTGGATTTGTACTGGGAAGGGGGGATTTAGGGAGAGGGTGGATTTGTACTAGGAGTAGGGGGAATTTAGGGAGAGGGTGGATTTGTACTGGGAAGGGGGGATTTAGGGAGAGGGTGGATTTGTACTGGGAGTAGGGGGAATTTGAGGGTAAGCATGCAGATTAGTGCTCGTAGTTGCCCAATTTGGTATGCTCGCCCTGGGCTGTAGATGACCTTGTCCTGGCACTGTGAACCGGCCCTAAAGCAAGTACAATAGTCGTCCGGCTCGCTGGGCCGGTCACTCCACTGAACTGAATCCACCCCACTTGATGTGATCACACCCTAGTGCTAGATTCACGACCGAGCGTTGTGTTTTGAGCGTTTTTTTTTTTCAGGGTTCTTTATGCGTGTTTTTTTGTACAGCGTTTTTGTGCTTTGGCTTTTTTTTTCATAGCCAGTAGAAAAAAAAAACCACTTGTTTCATCATTTGTTTTTATGTTTTTCAGCTTTTTTTTTTTTTAGCTTCTTTATCTGCTTTTCTTTCTTAATTATTTAATAGTTTTTGTATTTATTTTTTTAAGGGTTACAGGTTGGGGGGTTAGAAAATGTATTTATTATTATTATTATTATTATTTCTTAAACAGAAATAATAATGTATTCATTTTTTTTATGGTTAGGGTTAGTTAAAGGTTCATTTATTTAGTTTATTTACTGGTTAGGGGATTTATTTTATTATTATTATTATTATTTCTTAAACAGAAATAACGTATTCATTTTTTTTTTTTAGGGTTAGTTAAAGGTTAATTTATTTAGTTATTTATTTACTGGTTAGGGGGTTCATTTTTATTATTATTATTTCTTAAAGAGAAATAATAATGTATTCATTTTTTTATGGTTAGGGTTAGTTAATGGTTCATTTATTTAGTTTATTTACTGTTAGAGGATTTATTTTATTATTATTATTATTATTTTTTTTTTTTATTTTATTATTATTATTATTTATTATTTCTTAAACCGAAATAATGTATTCATTTTTTTTAGGGTTAGTTAAAGGTTAATTTATTTAGTTATTTATTTGCTGGTTAGGGGATTCCTTTTTTTTTATTATTATTATTATTATTTTTATTATTATTTCTTAAACATAAATAGTAATGTATTTATTTTTTTATGGTTAGAGTTAGTTAAAGGTTAATTTATTTAGTTATTTATTTGCTGGTTAGGAGATTCATTTTTTTATTATTATTATTATTAATTCTTAAACAGAAATAATAATGTATTCATTTTTTTTTTATGGTTCGGGTTAAAGGTTAATTTATTTTAGTTATTTATTTACTGGTTAGGGGATTCCTTTTATTATTATTATTATTATTATTATTAAACAGAAATAATAATTATTATTATTATTATTTAATAATAATAATATTATTATTATTATTATTATTTTTTAAACAGAAATAATAATGTATTCATTTTTTTATGGTTAGGGTTAGTTAAAGGTTCATTTATTTAGTTATTTATTTACTGGTAGGGGATTTATTTTATTATTATTATTATTTTTATTATTATTATTATTATTATTTCTTAAACAGAAATAATGTATTCATTTTTTTTTAGGGTTAGTTAAAGGTTAATTTATTTAGTTATTTATTTACTGGTTAGGGGGGTTCATTTTATTATTATTATTTCTTAAAGAGAAATAATAATGTATTCATTTTTTTATGGTTAGGGTTAGTTAATGGTTCATTTATTTAGTTTATTTACTGTTAGAGGATTTATTTTTTATTATTATTATTATTATTATTTTTTTTTTTATTATTATTATTATTATTTCTTAAACAGAAATAATGTATTCATTTTTTTTTTTAGGGTTAGTTAAAGGTTAATTTATTTAGTTATTTATTTGCTGGTTAGGGGATTCCTTTTTTTATTTATTATTATTATTATTTTTATTATTATTTCTTAAACATAAATAGTAATGTATTTATTTTTTTAGAGTTAGTTGGTTAGAGTTAGTTAAAGGTTAATATTTTTTTAGTTAATGTTTATTTGCTGGTTAGGAGATTCATTTTTTTTTTTATTATTATTATTATTAATTCTTAAACAGAAATAATAATGTATTCATTTTTTTTATGGTTCGGGTTAAAGGTTAATTTATTTAGTTATTTATTTACTGGTTAGGGGATTCATTTTTTTTTATTATTATTATTATTATTTGATTAGGGGGTAATTAATAATATATATTTTATGATTATTAATTACATTATTTAACTATTCATTTCATATTTTTTTTAATTGTGGGACTAGGATTATAACTTTTTTTTTTTTTTTCTTTTTAATGGTTGAACTGGATGGACTTTTTTGTCTTTTTTTTTCCCAGACTAATGCAGGCCATACATGGGTTGAATTCCGAACGATTTTTCGGCCGAAAATCGAAAACGTCATTCGCTCGGTAATGCGATGGCGCCATCAATGATATCGAAAATCGTCCGATCGAGTCATAAAGTTCCCCCCATATAACAGGCGAAACTTCTGCTCCTTCCAGGTCACGGCTCGCGCGTATTCTTTTTGGAAAAACGGTCGTACGATTTGACCATCATTGAGTCGAAAATCGGTCGTTTTTCACAAATTTTCCAACCAAAAAGGGGAGGAACCAGGAAAATCGACCGGTGCCACTGACCCCACTAACAGAGCGAAAATTGCCCGATTTATTCTTAGGTCTGATTTTCGGACGAAAAATCGATCGAATTTATTATATACCGACAGCAATTACAGTGCCTGGCGCTCGGTAAAAGATATTCGCAGGAACATGGCTGGGAACGATCTGTACAAATCCCATGCAGTGTCTTGCCTATCCCCGCACTAACCTAGTTTTTCTGGGAACCCCTGAAAGGTAACCGGTGGAGAGTGATCGAGTGATGATATTGACGAATGATCAGGTTATTGATTTTGGACACGTTTTCTGTATACCGTGAAATATCTGTATAAATACTAATAATGTATAATAAATTGGTGACTACGCAGGAAACGTAAATGCCAATCGTCTCATCTTCTCCTTTTCTTCCAGAGATCCATCCGGTCATTTGCTAATGATGACCGCCATGTCATGGCAAAACACTCCACCATATACCCATCTCCGGAGGAGCTGGAAGCTGTCCAGAACATGGTATCCACGGTGGAATGTGCGCTAAAGCAGGTCTCTGATTGGATGGATGAACAAAGTAAAAGTGAGACCGTGGAAAATGACCAGGAAGGAAAACAGGAAGACGATGAAGAAAATACCTCCAAGTAAGATTTGTGATTGATGGGGGGGGGGGGCTGATTTTTAAAGCCCAAGTGCAGCCAAAACTAAAAAAACAAAAACAAATCAGCACAGGAGACAAATCAGTAGGTTGTGTCCCTTGTGCTGTTTTCCTCCTCCTTTAGGTGACATCAGCACAGGGGACAACTTAAAGTCAGTAGGATGTGTCCCTTGTGCTGATTTGTCTTCTTTTAGGTGACAGCACAAGGGACACAACTTAAAGTCCATAGGTTGTGTCCCTTGTGCTGTTTCCGCCTCTTTTAGGTGACATCAGCACAAGGGACACCATTTAAAGTCAGTAGGATGTGTCCGCTGTGCTGATTCGTCCTCTTTTAGGTGACATCAGCACAAGGGACACAATTTAAAGTTATGTGTCCGCTGTGCTGATTCGTCCTCTTTTAGGTGACATCAGCACAAGGGACACAATTTAAAGTCAGTAGGATGTGTCCCTTGTGCGGTTTCGTCTTTTTAGGTGACATCAGCACAGGGGACAACTTAGTAGGATGTGTCCCTTGTGCTGATTCCTCCTCTTTTAGGTGACATCAGCACAAGGGACACAATTTAAAGTCAGCAGGATGTGTCCCTTGTGCTGATTCCTCCTTTTAGGTGACATCAGCACAAGGGACAACTTAAAGTCAGTAGGATGTGTCCCTTGTGCTGATTCCTCCTTTTAGGTGACATCAGCACAAGGGACAACTTAAAGTCAATAGGATGTGTCCCCCGTGCTGATTCGTCTCCTTTTAGGTGACATCAGCACAAGGGACAATAAAAAGTCAATAGGATGGTCCCTTGTGCTGACTTTTAGGTGAAAGCACAAGGGACAACTTAAAGTCAGTAGGATGTGTCCCTTGTGCTGATTCCTCTTTTTAGGTGACATCAGCACAGGGGGCACAACTTAAAGTCAATAGGATGTGTCCCTTGTGCTGATTTCCTCCTTTTAGGTGACATCAGCACAGGGGGCATAACTAAAGTCAGCAGGATGTGTCCCTTGTGCTGATGTTTCTTCTTTTAAGTAAAATCCTCCTTCATCCCTGCCCCCCTGTCCTGCTACTGTTATCTTCCAGTGAGGCAGCGGTTAGGGGGAGGGGCTGTGACACTCTCTTCAAGAGAGCCAAACTATGCCCTCCCTGTTCTGTTCACAGAAGCCGTACTACAGCGTCTATGAATGGAAACAGAATCTGTGAATGCAGAATGGCGGATGATGGCTCCACCCCCTTCAATTCATAGATCCTGTTTTCATTCAGAGTAGTAGTGGTCTGGATGGCAAGGGCAGGGCATGGTCGGGTTCTCTTGATTAGATCCTGTAACAGCCCCTTAGTTTTATTAACCCCCCGCCACACCAGAAGATTAAGCCCGGCCGGAGTGGGGTCAGGTATGAGGATTTCGCGTAAAAGAAGAATCAACAGCACAAGGGACATATACTATATGACTGTAAATTATGTCCCTTGTGCTGATTTTTTTTTTTTTTTTTTATTTTGGCTGCACTTAGGCTATAATGCATAATATATTTTATTTTTGTAAATTCTAATCTTATAATAATTTGTATTATTGCATAAAGGGTTTAATTGAAATGTTGTCACCTATAGCACCTAAAGTAGAACTAAACTCTCGCAATCAAGGCTATTTTTAATCTTTGTGCTGTTAGCTGTAGTAGTAGATAGAAAGGTATATTGTATTTACTTGTTTGTTCAACTTTTTTTTTTTTTTTTACATTTCTTAACTTACTTCCTGGTTTCTGGCCTAGGCCAAAGGATGTCCTACATACCAGGAGTCTTCATGGGAGGGGGGTTTTCTCAGCTAAGCAAATCCTCCTGCCTGCCTGCATGCCTGAGCTAAGGGTTACTTCCTGGTTTCTGGCCTAGGCCAAAAGGAAGGATGTCCTACATACCAGGAGTCTTCATGGGAGGAGGGGTTTTCTCAGCTAAGCACATCCTCCTGCCTGCATGCCTGAGCTAAGGGTTACTTCCTGGTTTCTGGCCTAGGCCAAAAGGATAGGATGTCCTACATACCAGGAGTCTTCATGGGAGGAGGGGTTTTCTCAGCTAAGCACACCCTCCTGCCTGCATGCCTGAGCTAAGGGGTTACTTCCTGGTTTCTGGCCTAGGCCAAAAGGATGTCCTACATACCAGGAGTCTTTATGGGAGGAGGGGTTTTCTTAGCTAAGCACACCCTCCTGCCTGCATGCCTGAGCTAAGGGTTAGTTCCTGGTTTCTGGCCTAGGCCAAAAGGATGTCCTACATACCAGGAGACTTCATGGGAGGTGGGGTTTTCTCAGCTAAGCACACACTCCTGCTTGCATGCTTGAGCTGAGCTAAGGGCATATGGATGCCAGGAAGTAAATGCTACATGAACTATCTGCTCTTATTCAAAATGGCCACAGCTATAAATTGGGGGGGGGGGGGGGGGTTAAAGTGATGTTTCAACAAAATATAGCATGGAGACATGAATGGATGGGGGGAGTTTGCCTTGAATAATAAAAATGAATGAAATAGTTTTCCGTTTGTGGTGCTCAGATTCAGTTTAGTTCCACTTTATTCTTAAAGCGGGGTTCCACCCAAAAGGGGAAGTTCCTCTTTAAGCCTTTTTCCCCCGCTCCCCATTAAGGATTGGCACCTCTGTGGAGCGGGTACCCGAATTTGACAGGTACCCCACTTCTGCTGCGATCGCCTAGGCAATCGGAAGCGGAAGCTGCCACAGCGGGGTGCCCACACTGAAGATGCCGGCGCCAGGGAGAGAAGATGGCCGGCGAAACCATCGGTGGTGAGGGACTCCACTCTAATATCTCTTTCCAGAATAATAGTCAATTTATGCAATCAGTCTTGGCTATATCCCTGCCTGGTTCCATTTCATCTTCTCTCTCTTGTCCTTGGACACAGACTCTGAAATAGTTTACACAGTTACTTCTGTCCCGTAATTGTAACATCATACCCAATGGAAATCCACCATTGGAGAGTAAAACGTCTACTCTCCTGCTCCTTACTCACTTTTTAAGACACCAAAAGGTCTAAGGAATAACGGGGACAGAATGTTCTTCCGCATTATGCCAACACAAATGTGACATTATTGGTGTATATACACCGATCAGCCACAACTTTGACTACCGAAAGGTAAAGCGAATAACACTGATTATCTCTTTACAATGACATCTGAAACTGGGTGGGATATATTAGGCAGCAAGTAATCATGTCCCTGAAGTTGATGTGTTGAAAGCAGAAAAAATGGGCATCGCAGTTTGTGGTGTATGTGGCTGTGTAGCCACAGACCAGTCAAGGGTGCCCATGCTGACCTGTGTCCACAGCCAAAATGGCCTACAATGGGCATATGAGCATCAGAACAGAGCCATGGAAGAAGGAGGCCTGGTCTGATGAATGGTTTTAGGAACCTACAATGGGCACGTGAGCATCAGAACTGGACCACGGAGCAATGGAAGAAGGTGACCTGGTCTGATGAATGGTTTTAGGAACCTACAATGGGCACGTGAGCATCAGAAATGGACCACGGAGCAATGGAAGAAGGTGACCTGGTCTGATGAATGGTTTTAGGAACCTACCTAATGGGCACGTGAGCATCAGAAGTGGACCACGGAGCAATGGAAGAAGGTGGCCTGGTCTGATGAATGGTTTTAGGAACCTACAATGGGCACGTGAGCATCAGAACTGGACCACGGAGCAATGGAAGAAGGTGACCTGATGAATGGTTTGAGGAGCACAACGAGTTGGAGATGTTGACTTGATATCCAAATTTTCCACATTTCAAACCAGTGGAGCATCTGTGGGTTGTGCCGGAAAAAAGTGCTTACAGTAGGCACATGAGTATCAGAACTGGACCATGGAGCAATGTTAGAAGGTGACCTGGTTTGATAAATCCAAGAATGGTTTGCGGATCACAATGAGTTGGAGATGTTGACTTGACATCCAAATTTTCCACATTTCAAACCAGTTGAGCATCTGTGGGTTGTGCTGGAAAAAAGTGCCTAGTGGGCACATGAGTATCAGCACTGGACCATGGAGCAATGTTAGAAGGTGACCTGGTTTGATAAATCCAAGAATGGTTTGCGGATCACAATGAGTTGGAGATGTTGACTTGACATCCAAATTTTCCACATTTCAAACCAGTTGAGCATCTGTGGGTTGTGCTGGAAAAAAGTGCCTAGTGGGCACATGAGTATCAGCACTGGACCATGGAGCAATGTTAGAAGGTGTCCTGGTTTGATGACTCCAAGAATGGTTTGAGGAGCACAACGAGTTGTAGATATTGACTTGGAATCCAAATTTTCCAGATCTCAAACCAGTTGAGCATCTGTGGGTTGCTCTGGAAAAAAGCGCGTACAATGGGCACATGGGTATCAGAACTGGACCTTGGAGCAATGGAAGAAGGTGGCCTGGTCTAATGGATCACATTTGTTTACACCATGTGAATGGCAGGGTGGGTGCGTCACTTACCTGGAGAAGAGATGGCGCCAGGATGCAGTATGGAAAGAAGGCAAGCTGCTGGAGGCAGTGGGATGCTTTGGGCAAGGTAATGTTCTGCTGGGAAACCTTAGGTCTTGTCCTTCATGTGGATGTTGCTTGACACGTACCACCTACCTAAACATTGTTGGTGACCAGGTACACCTCATCATGGAAACTGTATTCCCTGATGATAGCGTCCTCTTTCAGCAGGATAATGTGCCATGCCACACTGCAAAAATAGGTAAAGAATGGTTTGAGGAACACAACAACGAGTTGACTTTACCTCCTAATACTCCAGATCTCAGTCCAATCACGCATCTGTGTGATGCTGGAAAAACAAGTCCATGGAGGCCCCACCTCGCAACTTACAGGACTTAAAGGATCTGCTACTGACGGCTTGGTGCCAGATACCACAGCATACCTTCAAAGGTTTAGTTGAGTCCATACTGCGACAGGTTAGGGCTGTTTTGGTGACAAAAGTAGGACCTACTCAATATTAGAAGGGTCATCAGAATGTTATGGCTGATTGTTAAAGC